AGAGCCCTTCTCCTCCAGAGCCCTTCTCCTCTGGAGCACTTCCCCTCCAGAGCTCTTCTAACCAGGGCACTTCCCCTCCAGAGCATGTTTCCTCCAGAGCCCTTCTCCTGCAGAGCATTTCTAACCAGAGCCCTTCTCCTCCAGAGCCCTTCTAACCCAGGGCACTTCTCCTCTAGAGCCCTTCTCCTCCAGAGCCCTTCTCCTCTGGAGCACTTTCCCTCCAGAGCTCTTCTAACCAGGGCACTTCTCCTCCAGAGCATGTTTCCTCCAGAGCCTTTCTCCTCTGGAGCACTTCCCCTCCAGAGCATGTTTCCTCCAGAGCCCTTCTCCTGCAGAGCACTTCTAACCCAGAGCCCTTCTCCTCCAGAGCCCTTCTAACCCAGGGCACTTCTCCTCCAGAGCCCTTCTCCTCCAGAGCCCTTCTCCTCTGGAGCACTTTCCCTCCAGAGCTCTTCTAACCCAGGGCACTTCTCCTCCAGAGCATGTTTCCTCCAGAGCCCTTCTCCTGCAGAGCACTTCCCCTCCAGAGCACTTCTTCTCTGGAGCTCTTCAACTCCAGCCTCTCTCTTTGAAAGAGGAGAAAATTTAAGGCTGGAAAAGAACCTTCTCAATCAGCTACGTTTGTGTTTCAGTCAGGCTCTCAGCTGCTGTGACTAAAGGATGTGACCAGAACAACTATAGAGGAGGAAAAGTATCTGAGGGCTCATGGTCCCCAAGGCTCCATCCCTCTGGGCTCGAGGTAAGACTTAACGTCACGGTAGGAGCGGGTGGCTGAGGGAAGCAGCTCGATCACAGTGATCAGGAAACAGAGAGAGAGACTCCATTCTCCAGATAGAAAGTGTACACCCCATACCCACCCCAATTCCCACCTCCTCCAGCCACACTCCACCACTTCAATTAATTCCATCAGGGGGTAATTCACTGATTGGGTCAAGACTCTTATAACCCATCATTTCTCCTCTGAACCTTCCTGCAGTGTCTCACATGAAAGCCTTTAGGG